CCGCTCTTCTATAAATTCTGACAAGCGGGTTTTTACCCAAGCCCATCTGAGCCCGAGGCTGCAGGAGACACGCACTCCAGAAACGTCTCGTTCACCTCAGCTTCACCATGATTCACAATAGTTCTGACAGTGTTACCACTCCGAATTTCAAAATCCGCGGCTGCGCGCGGAGTCTGAGGCCCCAGCTCGAATCCCGGGCACTGTTAGAGTGCCGAATCGGCAACGAATCCTGCATGCATGTTGACAAACATGGTTTCTCTCAAAGGCCTCACAAACCCAGTAATGCAGCGCCTTAGCAAGCAACTTGAAGTTCTTTGGACTTTTTTGTTTTACGTTCAGAATTCCGCCCAATGACCACAGAACTACCCAGAAATGTCACAGAGTGTAGCCCACAAGCCTTGGGGAATTCTGATGCCGCCTCTCTGAGGTGCGGACGTTGAGGATGCGCCCAGTGGTACAGATGCAGACTCCACTAGCACCTGTAGCCGAGAGGCTGGGTCCCCGCTACCGTTGTGGTCTGGGTGCACAAGTAAGGCCAAAGCAGTTGTGTTTCCACTTATTGGCCCGAGGTAGGGATTGAGGTGGAAGTACGTGAAGCCTGCGCAAGCAGGCGTCACATCAACGCCAGCGGCAGTGAGCCACGATACTTGCCAGCCAGATTCCGTGTCTACAAGACGAACACCCGAGGCCAGTGCCCAAAAACTCGAAGGTAGCGTCGCTTGCTCCCTGTGGTGAAATTTCTGGCATGGCCAACCCCTGCTCTCAAAGGTTCCGCGAGACGCTTTGAGTAAGGCCGCGGGCCGTGAAATTCTGTCCGTTGTTGGAGAGATACACCTCTCGGGACACTGCTGCCTGAAGACCCTATGTACTTCACTTGCGGCACCAGCACATCAACTGATGGACTTTCTACCATGCTTCGCCATTGTACTAACATGGTCATCACTTCGCCTGCACTTGGCCAGGGGGATGGATTGGTGTCCTGGCAATGTCTTTGTCAGGATGGTAGCGACGCACGGAAGCATTCCTACAGTACACTCCGCCTTCAGTCTTCTTACCAGCAAGAACTGGTTAGATATGTGAAGACACGATTGGATAGGGAGACGAACAGGCGGAAAGTCAACTGGATGCCCGACCGCCAGGTTGGCAGTGAACCTGGACTTCGAACCATCTTTAGCACTCCCCCACAAATACCGTCGTCATGCCTTCTATTCGTGCAACCCCACGTCTCTGCACAAGTTCAGCCATCCATCTGGCAACAATGCCACATCGCGAATATCGCGATTCGCAGAAAGAGTACATGGGCGCTTCAAACAGTTCGCTACAAGAAGTGAGGTGCATGGGCGGCCCGCGACCTGCAAAGCACCAGTGCACTCGAGATGTACCGGAATGCCTCGGCGTTCGGAATGCAGAGCACACCAGAGCTGACGCATGCTGCCACGACTTGTCATAGCCATGGCCACTCTCAAGTAGCAACGGAGAATGAGTGGAAATAGCTGTCTGAGTCTAGGTCTGTTGCTGGCCAGAGCTCTGCTCGGCTCAGGCTGTGAGACGTTCTCTCCAGCAGGAATTTGAGTGGACTTCTTGCATGGAACGTCTCACGAAGGCAACACCAAATCTGCCATCTTACCATTACGCCTGTGATTGACGGAGGTAACACCAGCCTGCCCGAGAATTCAATCAGCCTTTTCACGCGAACTGAGACGCGTACATCATGAAATATGCAGAAAACACATATCTCGATGCAGCCTACAATTTTGGTGTAGATTCAGTCTTGCTGCTCTGAGGTCCCAGCCGGAACCATGACTTCGCCAAACTTACAGGTCAAACGGACGTCGTTGATGAAGTGCGCACCTTCAAGCTGGACCTGTTGAGGGCTCGAGCTGCAGCTGTACCAAGCTTACTGGGCAACTTTCTATAAGTCGTGCAACTGCAGATCAACATATGAACAGGTAACGCTGCAGCAGGACTTCCTAGCTTGTCCAGCTTGGCTCTCGCTATCAAATTTCCCCTAACAATGATCGCCAGTGCTCCACCCGAGACAGACAGACCTTCAAAACACAGAATCACCATGCCCAAACAGTATGACTCACTGCTGGTTGAGAACTTACACCGTTGTCATCTCAAGTCACAAAAGGTGTTTCTTCGGCGTGTCACGTTTATCCTAAAGCCCTTCGATACAAGGCCCAACTGGTTGTAGTGGCTTTCCGGCCCCATGGCTAAGTGGAGGGCGATGGTTCCGCCACGTGAGGAGCCGAAAGCAGGCGTCACCTTCAAAGAAACAAGATCGACCAGTTAAAGATGCTTCCAGCTATGCAACCCAAGAGCAAGCCGTTTCGGCCTTCACTGCTATTGCAAAAGATATTACATGAAACATCATAAAACATGTTGCAAATGCTTTTACTAGATGCTTGCCCAACATAAGCACCTGCGAGGAGAGCACACATGCTGCCACAAGTCCCTGCAGAACAGAGCCGGTTTTATGGTTCGTCTTCCACATGCTAAACTTTTAGTCACACTTTCAGCCTAGACGAGCGCTTTGGTTGCTATCATACGATGGCGAAAACAGAATGCAATTGTAGATGCGGACGGATTTCGCATGAACGAGAACGTTCATGACAGACCAAAGAAGAATGTGTGCCAAACACAGATTCGCCAATGCACTCGTCTGACCCAGATCAGCTTTCATATCTTCCTAGCTACCCCGGTTGGAATCTGAGGCGTGAGAAGAGAGACAAAGGGACACACTTCTCGAGCACCTTCGTGTCTCAAGACACCTACACCTTCTGTAAGCTTGGATATGGATCCAAATTAAGATGTGATTCTGGGAAACTGAAAACCGGGCTCTGGTCATGGGGTTGCCAGGCCAAGACAACAGCTCCCTTGTGACCAAAACATAACACTGAAGGATTTCTGTGCTTCCGATAGCTTCATGCACCAAGGCCAGGACCTTGGCCACAGTGGGAGTGACGTAGTACTTGAAGCCTTGGCAGATGGCAAAAACATCTGCCTTGAGCCTTTTAGTCTGAATATTTCCTTCTAGCCTTCGCAGTCAAGCTTTGATGGTATGGATGTCCCTCAAGAACTGCATGCACAGTTCAAGGCCTGCAGACCCGTCCCATTGTACTATCAGTTGGCATCGAAGTCTGAGCTGCCAGCGAACTGCATCCCCACTTGGACCAATCTGCTTTCGGTTCTGACCGTCAGCTGTAAGGGTCAGCCTGGCTGTGCAAGTGACTGCCGTGCAGTTCTGTTACAGGTGAGGACTCGGATACAACACAATGCAAGCCGTCATGTAAACATCACGCATGGCAGGCAATCATACGTGCTATAAATAAAGCTTACGGGAAAGAAATGTCTCAAGAGTTGCGATGGCCTTGGGTGGGTGGCTGCTCAATTCAGAGATTTGTTGAACACATCTGGGCTGCTGCTTAGAGTCTTAGAGAGGACGTGCTGTGTAAGCACGGCAGAAACACTCCACCACTCCAGGTTGGACAACCGGCGGGGACGTGCAGGTCGCCTGCAATCAGACACGTCCAGCTGAGCTGAAAAAAACTTGCTACGCGACTTGAACCGAAGGGCACAAAATCCTGAATCAAGGACGAAAGATCAGGTCTGGCAAGTGGCAGGAAAGAGCAATCTTGCTGCTCAGCAAGATATGAATCGAGTCATGTCCAGATGTGAGCCCAATATCTGGAGCATCTGAGGCCTCATTCTGCGTCACAAGGAAGAGCGGAACTTGGATGTTCCCAAAGACGCACTTGAGATTCTTGGAGTTCAGGATAGGCGCATCCTGGGTAAGGCAGGGCTGCTTGACTGGCAGCCTGCACAAAGGAGGAACGTCCTGACCGTTCTGGCTAATGTACGAAAAACCTTTCCTTCCTAAACTAGTGCGCCTTGGTTTTTTGTGGGCAGAGGCCTCGCCATGACCCGAGAAAGCTCACTCATTTCCCAATTCAGGATGCCTGAGGATGCCAGGGTCAGGCGCATTCTTTTGCTGTACTTTGCAGCGAAGCAGAACACACTCGGCCACCCCCCCAACAACTCCATAAAATCGCCTCAATCGGTCCAAACCCCAACCCAAAACAAAAATTTTCTTCCTGGGGCTCGTGCCGATCTCAGGGACACCAGGGTGCTTCCAAACTCCGGGCCGCTAAGCGGCTCAACCTGGCCGTCATATCCAGGCATGCATCCCCAAACATCCTGGAAGACTCCCAGGTGTAAGGCATAAGGTCTTGCCAGATAAGGGGACCCCACTTTGAAGCAATTCGATGCATGGCAAATCCTCTGACGCATCTTGGCAACAGTCGCCATGGCTCATTTCAACGCGGCCATGTTTCTAGCCCGTTCTGAAGTTCTTGGCATTCCTACCTGAATTGGCTCTGAAATTCACAGGTTGGTGAGTAGGGCCTGCTCGGAGCCTTCCAATGGGCCGCTGCATACGCTTTCAAACCCATGCGCGGGCGACCCACGAGATGCTTGGAATAAAGCGCCGATAGTAGAACGTCAGCTGCTTCTTGGGGAACTGACTTGCCGCCTTGATCATTGCCGGTGGTTGTTCACAACTGCCAGCTTCCAGTCAGGTGTGACAAGACTTGCGGTCAGCAATACTTCCTTGTACCCGCTGAGGATGCTAATCAAGCTGCTGCTGCGATAACATGATCACCAACAGTGACATTGACAGCAAGATTTGCAAAGGGAAATATGTCCAATGCATCATGTGGTCAACATCATATCCCTCGCAGCTGAGGGAGGGGCAGGAGTTGTTCCCTTCATGATCGCAGGTGCCGGGACGGTCTGCAGAAGGCACGTCCAAAGCTTGAAGGCTGATCCACACCCCTTCAAAGTGGCTTAATCCTTCAAACCCAGATAAATTTCCCTCCATCAAGTTTGCAATGTGTTAACAAGGCGACGTTTTAGGTCTGGCATGTTACAATTGTACCTGGGCGCACACCAGTGTAGCACATCTCTATATCAGAAGCTGCAGAGGTCTATTTGCAATCTGTGGCTGGATTTAAGGTAGGCGTGCATGCTACAGGGGGGGGAAGAAGGGGGGTCAGAGCTGGCAGGGGATGCAACTCCAACCAATGCCACTAAATACGCAGTACATCCATTACTTCATTTCTCACAGGACTTCAATAGTCAGATAACCCTTATCCCAAGCTCATCTAGGAAAGGATGAGCCTTAGGACTTCCTTCTGATGAAATTTTAAGTGACATGCCTCCTGCAATGCTCTGCATGGAGTAATACATTGACGAAAGCATTGTCTCCATAGTCTTTCCAAAAGCATTCCCCAAAATGTTCCCTTATTCCTTACACAGCCATGTAGCCACAACCCTCATGGCTTATTCCGGTATGTACTGGGGATGTACAGGGAATTATGGGGGTAAGGGGCTACCATTATAGGGGTATACGTGGTTTAGCATTGCTTTGGTGTACTCCTCTTGCAATACGTGGAGATCTGGCATCGATGCATCTGTGCATGCATCTAGCTGTCCCATGAATGTCCACGCAAATGCTTGATCTCCGTTTTCTATTTGTTTCTACAGGCAGCGGGATTGACACAACAGTTTGATGAAACTGTGCGCTTCTGTTCTCTCCTCTGTGTGCAGCATATGCTTTCGCGTTGGGTTGGTGAGGTTGTTGGAAGCTTGGTGGTGCTCGCAGGCGTTTCGAGAATCGTTGCAAAAGCTTATGTGGGGTCAAGGGTTAACTGCCGATAGAACGGTGAATGGAAGTTTCTAGCTGTGAGGCCTCGAGATCGAAGGGAGCCAAATAGCCGGTGGGAAGGTAGGCACCATCCACAGGCGGAGAGGTGCCTGAGGGCATCACAAGCCGCTGTTTTTCATCACGGTTTTATGAAGAGGATAATGGCAAGGAAACTTTGAGCTGTAGGGTGAGTAAATCTCAAAGCACAGAACTTGATCTGTCGCTGGGGTGGGATGCCGAGACTACTCAAGGCGCAATCATGCAATCCAATTTCCAAAGGCGCTTCTGTTTCGAATGGATTCGGAGCAATACCTGGAAATTGCAACAGTCTCCCTCCTAACCGGCCCTTGCAGCATTTAGGGCTGCGAGCCCAGCGCGAACTGGAGCTGAGAGCCGAGCATTGAAGCTCTGTATCTGAAAGAATCAAAGCCTCAGCAGCCAGCGCCACAACTGCAGAGAAAGACAATGGAGTCAGGAATTTTTGAGTACGGCCAGCAAGTTTCACTGTCAGTGTTGGCCAGACAATGCTGCGGCAGGTCTTTCTTGAGCCAGCATATGATTAGCAGCAGCTGGCGCCCAGCCTGGCTCTTCCGAGTTCCAAAAATGCAGCGGATGAAGAGCTCCTTGCACGTGGACGTGGAGCTCTTTCATTCTCATTGCGGAACAATATCCCACTGGTTTGTACATTGTAGGCTCTCAGAAGTTGATAAGCTTGATGGGACGGGGGTGGGGTGCAGGCCGACGGAGGTAGATGATTATGAGAGGACGTGCAGACGCCAGAAAGTGCGGCAGCTACCTGTTGACGCAACGATGACGTTTCCAGGATCCAAGTCCTGCCCGTGTGGCCGGAAGTGCTGTCCATGAACCAGGACCATTGTCCCGCCTGTAGCAGAACTGACTTTAGATGGATAGGCCTTGCACCGTGGTCCTTTCAAGACTGTGCAAACTGTTGCACCCGGCAATCTGTTGCAGCATGTTGCCTTCAACAGGGCCCTCAATCGGTTCCACCGTCTGCGGCGCTGGGTATGCCACCTGGGCAGGCACGGGTCCAGAGAACAACACTCCTGCCAAAAGAAGTGCTGCTGCTTGTGGAAAAACAACCTGCGCCATCAGAAGTTCCCGAATACACATAAGTTACAATACTGGCGGTACCTTAAATGGTGCAAGATTTCTTGTGCACCATCAAGCATACTTCTGCTGTTCAGATTAACCTTCTTAAACCCTGGCCGCCGGGGCAGCCGCGAAGTTCACGTATGCTTGGGAGGATCGAGCTGTGCCAACACCGTCGGTGGAGAGGCGGACCAGAACACCTGATAGGTTTTGGGCTTCTGCGGAAGCGCTGTGAATGAATACCACATACTCTTGCATTCCGCCATATCCAGTTGTCAGCACCATTCAAGTGCAATCATTGATTTTCTCTCCAGAAAGTGCAGGGCCGCTAGCACAGGCCCCCACGTTCTGAGACTGCGCCGTATGGTCGGATCTCCCAGTGCGGAGTTGTGCCTGTACAAGGTGATTGGCATTCTGCAGGCACATCCGCCTGAACAAGCTTGGGAATGACAGCTCAGGAGCTCGTAACTGAGGTTGCGACATACGACTTCGCGATCGCTGGCAAGAACCGACACAGGGACCTGCATCAGCTCAGTGGAACACAGCTGCTGGGTACAGAAGAGCAACGGCGGGAGAGTTTGAACAAAGAAAGAGGGTCTGCAGAGCCTCTACGGCGCGCTCTCCCTCACCAAAGATGCAGTAGCGAGCGTCAGCTGCTAGGCTGGCGCCTGCGAAGGCAGGAACTTCACCCTTGCATTCGAAGACTGCCAGCCAACACTTTCTCTGCATGTCAAATCAGCTGTTGGCAGACTTTGTTGATAGCAGTATTCCCTATGCCCGGGCCTTTCACGGTGAGAGGGAGATGTCCCACCGCTGAGACATTCTCAGGCTCCACCTTGGACGAACCGGGGCAAGTCCGAAATTGCCTTGATAAATTGTTCTAAATGCTGTCAACAGAAGACAAACGTCTTGGTGCTCGGCCATCACAACTGACGTGGCGGTTACGAATCGAACCATGACCTTTGAGAAAAGATCTAATATGATCCAATGGGTTTGATGTCGCATGCACGAACCCAATAAACAAGTTAAATAAGGCCTGAGCGGGTGGTACTCCTTGAATAAAGTCCTGTCCATTCATGGCAACCTGCAAGTGTTGGTTTCGGGAACTCATGCAGCATGAATTTAATGCGTTGGCGCAGCCGCTTCGCAGAAGCAAGGACTTCCAAAGCACGGCGCCTCGACTTCATAGGTGGTGCCTGCAGGAGAGGAGGCCTCAGCACTCAAATTGCAATTGCATCAGGACACAACGAGGTTTGGCTGCGGGCCTAGCTTTGCGAGCGATCCCGCTGGAGGTGTATTTTCTAAAGGGGTGCGATCTTGACCACCCTCCCGGTGCAAGATCAGCACAGCAGTGCGCCGTCGCGGCTCAGAGCATCTGAGATCCAGGCAAGATGGAAGCCCGTCGAAGGAACTGCGCACAACAGGGTGAAGTTGTTCAGAATGACCTCCAGATAGCACTGCAGCTTTGATGCGTCGAGCCTTACGTCTAGCAGTTCGTGAACTTGGCTTTTATGCACAATACAAGTCAAACACCGCGAACCCTTCCAGATGCTCAGTCGTAAGCCTACAGAGGAGTGGCCCTTCCCTACTACTTCCGGCACACATCCCTTCCTGAGTTCATTCCCTCACTTTCTTACAAGTAGCAGGCTTGTCCCCTCAAGCCCGCAGATTCATAAGAGCGCCCCCAACTTTATCTTAGATTATCAGAAGAAAGCTGGACAGCGCTGAAGGCCTCCAAACTCTGTTGCAGTAATCAAGGGGTTCGCTAAAGCGTTACAGCAGGAATTAATTCCTGTGCCCCACGTCCCTAGCAGACCTCCGCTGGTGCCAGAAAGCCCCCTTCACCACCCAGCCGACACCTGCACAGAACAAGGTATCGAGAAGGCAGAGGGTTCTGATATCTGGGGGTGGTAAGGGTTTAGGGTTCAGGGATCTTGTGGAGTCTCTGACAGAACGGTCCCTTTCTAATCCCGGATAGAGTTGGACCGCATTATGCGGCCCCGCAAACAATGATTCAGAGAACCCCATGCTCAAGTTCCCATCTTGCGAATGCGGATATATCTTTGGCTTTGCTTAGTCCTGTGGAGGGCTTGCAATCCAATTGTAGTAGCCCGCCAAAGGGAAGCGGGTGTGGGGAGCCCAGTGGCTTCCAGAAGACCTTTGCAAGTTCTTGGCTAGCCAAGTGATGAGGTCGACTTCGAGCCCTGAGCATTCAAGATGTTATAAAAGAAAAGGTCTCTGGCCTAAGGACTACACATGGGTATATGCTCACATTAGAGGCCCCAAGTACTCCTTAAAGAGGCCACTCTCAAGAGTAGACCACTCACTCGGCGTATATCCGCAACTGAATGCTTGGAACCCAAGGGCAGGACATGGCTGTCCGTGAAGGCCGGAAGTTCTCGCCCGACACGAAGAGTTTGAAACCTGTTCATGACTAAAAGAATACAAGCAAGAGGGACAGGATGGAAAACGGTTGCTGGTGTGGAAGGACATGGCCCTGGATGAGTGTTTAGCTGGGAGGTTCACCAAAAATTCGGGACAATCTCTACCCGTAATCTGCACAATGATTGTCGAGTGCAATCCGCAATGCTATTGAGTTTGAGCATCAAGCGGGAAGATATGTACCTATGCCCCTCCAGGGGCCTTTTGGGGCCTTCCACAGAGGCTTCCCACAGGGGAGCCTAAGCCCTCAGGGGCGCATTGACCAATAGAGTACAGAAGCACATTGGAGCAGGTACATAGCAAATGATATGATCCATCCATTACTTTTGATCGCACAATCCATCAAGGGCCTAAGAAGACAAGACGGAAACCATCAACATCTGTGACCACGCATTCCATAAACGCATAATCCATAAAGGCCCAAGGATAAAGGTTCTTCAGGAATTACGAGTAGGAACCGCCTAGCTTTAGAGGCTGACCCTTCCGGAGCAGAATCGGCTTTTGAACTTCGACATTGGCTGGTCCAAACCAATCTCCAGACCTCTTGGGTTTGGATGTGTAGATTGGGACACAACAGCAGGCCTTCTGCCTGCTGCTTTTCGTCAAACTCGGCGGGGTAAACCCGAGTGATTTTCCACTGCCTGACAAGAGCCCAGGAGCGGAAAAGTGGCGCGCATCCCTGTGCTGGGACTGAAGCTCTGAGTACTCGAAGCGGGCATGCGGAGGTCCCTGGCAACGGCCATCGGCCTGCGATGTCTGCCGGCGCCAACACAAGAGAAGGCAAAGGCGCTGAAAGACTCTCAGAGCCTGAGCGACTCCGACATCGATGGTCACTGGGCTCTGTGGCCATGGAGGTGTCTTGCACTGATACAGCCTGAGATCCAGCACAAAGGGGAGCAAAGGATAAAGGTCGTGATAAGCCAATTCAGCAGTAGTACTTCCGAAAGCTCACGTACAGACCCTTCCCCAGCAACCCAGCAAGCAAGAATTTTCTGCACGCTGACAATGGGGCCCTGGCATGTCCGACACTTTCACGGCTGGCACGACTGTGGCTGGTGGAGAACCAAAGCAACAGCTTTTGACCTCACGTCACGTCCTTCTGCTTGTCATTTGCAATGGTAGGCGCATCCCTTGCTTGTCCATGTGCTTGCTCCCTGCAGTTATCCTGAATCACTACATACATCTGCGAGTCAACCCAATGTAAGCCGATATCCAAGTCGAATTCAACCGTGTATTTCAAGGTATCTGCGATTTGGGTCGGGACACTATGAATTAGCGCTTATAGCCAGCCTGCGACATGTTCAAGAGCTCGAGTTCGGCCTCTTCGTCGCCACGCACAACATGCACCTTGGCAAGACTAAAGACTTTTACCCCAGCACTAGCTCCAAGTAATCCTCGTGAAGATGCCACGAGACAAGACACCTCGTGGAAGGACCCATAAACAGACCTCAAACAAGGCCCAATCATGCATCCCCGTAACGAGCAGCCTACGCAATCCCAATGCTTGCCTGTCTCAACACTCCCTTTGCAAAGGCTTCCTTTGCGCCAGGACCCTAAGCGCAAATCATTAGCAGGGTCATTCTGTACTTAAAAAAACAACAAACCCAAAGTAACATGAAAGCTGGGTCAAGCACATCTAGCAACGTCCCGCCGCGTCTCGGCCCAAACTCTGGGTAGATGGCACCTGGAAACTGGAGCGCTTAGAAGGGTCATCTGGGTCACCCGAGGCAGCGCGGAAATAATTCGAAGTGGCCACAGAAATGTTTCTTGTTTATGGGTCATGCGGTTTTCTGCAAAACGCAGAATTTCATACTAAAACGGCTGAGCCATACGGGATAGCGTTACATGGCCAGCTGTACATCATGCGTACGTTCGAATCCCATGATCTTCTTCTCTGCTTGGGCTTGCTTTCAGAGCGGATCCAACCTCGGAGCTCCCGCACAAAGCTGAAATACGCGGTCGTGGGCCTTGGAATCCAGCCATCCAGCACAGTCTCTTGAAAATTTGTATTGTAGATCCTGCAAGGGATATCCCTGGGCCCGAAAACAGTATTTTGTTGTAAGAAAAATGTAAACTTCAAAACCCCTGAGATCTCCGATGTTGGGGTTGGTGAAACTTGGTTCCTGGCGTCCAGTCTGCACCACCATTGATCGAAATGGTGACCGGGACCGTCCTTTACTCACCACAAGCTTGAAGCTTACGGATGAAGTCAAGTACCAAGCTGGCAAAAGCAGTCGGCCTCATACCCAGATTCTTCCCAACGGACTGAGGCGTCACCTTGATCAGCTGTGATACCAGGATAGACTGGGCTTGCCGACTGGTGTTGTTTGAACTTCCTCCCAGTAACTAGGCCCCTAACATGCCCAACGTGTTGTCCGATTTGGGTAAGTAAGGTGTGGGCGCATGTGATCTCCCGATTGCTGAGCCATCGCCCTGGAGCCACGGCACCTGCTTCCGCATTGCCTCGGTGACTGCAGCGGGGGCTGCAACAGCAACTCCCACACACAGTAAGCTTTGAGGATACCTGCAACAGCACGTGTTCACGTGGAATACAGCCCACTCTTGAATGTAAGAACCTCTGGCGTTTTTCTGGGCTTTCTGAGGCAGGCTCCGAAGCGGCACAGCAAAGCGTCCAGGCGCGCTTCGGGAAAGTATCGCCCATGCACCGACACCTTGGAGGTCAAGACGTTAGCATAGGGCAAGCAGGCTTCAAGAATCTTCAGGAGTGCTCAGGACTGCCTGCTTGCCTCGGGGACATGTTCTGAACTGGGGCCCGGCACGTTGGTGCCACCTGTTGTTGGCCCAGAACGAGGGGTGACACTGTCGACGTGCGGCTGCCTGCAATGGAAGCTAAGTACGGCCCGGGGTAGATGGTCATGCATGCACATCATTGCACATCTGTAGCTAGGGTGAACAAGAAAATGCAGCATACAATTTGGATCACGCTTGGCCTGATGTAAGTGAAGCGGTGCTGGCCTGTCACAGTAAGGTTCATCGTTGCAGTTGCATGCGTTGAATTGGCAGCCGCACACACGTTGATGCATGCTGGTGGCATGCACAGCACTGCGGATGTTGGTATGAGAAATGCTCTACTTCATACCAGGGGGCATTCCTTGCAGGCAATGGAGGAAACGCATGTGCCGCGGCTTAGCCCGCTGCAGGGCTCGTACTCGAAGACATGCTCGGCTGATGATGGGACCACCCGAACGCCTTAGGGCAGCGGGGAAGTTTATGGCCCCTGCTGCAGCAGGTATCCAGGGCATGGCTATGATCAGGAAAGGACGTGGAAGGAAGCCCGGTCTTGATTACATCATTAGCTAACTAACTGCCACTTGCCTCTGCCAACAAGAAACATGGAGTACAAAAACAACACCTCCACCAACACCTAGTGACAAGAAGCCAACATGCCTATGATTTCAGGAAGGCGAGCTTACCCAAAGACATACCTATTCAGATGTTAAGAGCAACCCTCTGAGTGAATGCACAGACTGGATAGCTGCCCGCCAGCATAGGGTCATCCTCACTGTCGCAGAAGCCCCAATCAGCTCCCTGACCTCATGCTGCATGGGTCATAGGCCATGGGTGCATCAAAGCTTAAATAGGTAGCTAGCGCCCTCCGTTCAAAGGCGTTCACCCGGAGCACGACAAGACAAATAGCTTGAACTACTTTCATTCACCACAGAGTCCACAAGCTGGAAGGTGCCACTTTCTGAGGCGATGATGTTTGCACAAGGGCCGAGCAGAGGGGCTGCTCGACAGTGCACCAGGGCCTGACGGTTCGGATCTGTTTTGCCAGAACGTAGTGAGCGTCCTTCGGGCTTCCAGAAGTTCGCGAACATCCTTCTGGCTAGCTACAGAATGGTATTTACAACAAGAAACCTTTCGACAACTTCTATGAGGAATGTCAGCTTGCCTCTAAGAAGCAAAGCTAGAACACGTCTTTTTCACAGGTCTGCTGCGAATGCGGCTCGTAAGCCCACGGGAGGACCCAAGTGGCCACTACTCCGGTGCTGGTGGGGACCCTGCACTAGTGTACAGGTGGAAGATCTGCACAGGAACATCTGAACACTCCCCCATACTCTGCAGCAGTACTCATTGATGTGTGCTATACTATGAAGGTGGAGATGGAGGGTGCCGGCATAGCCGCGAAGCTGATCCAGCTGAAGTTAAAAGTCTCAGGCTGGCCATGGTGCGGTCGGGATGCCCATCTCCCAGTCCAGGAGAAGGGTGGCTGCTGGTCGGCAGTGGGCCCGCTGACGGCATTGAAGCGCATGGCATGGCAGTCTGCTGCCCTGCAGATCTTGCCGTCTGTGTTTCCAAAGGCCTCTGTCATGTTCTCCCAGGGGTGCAAGTCGTACCTGACAGATCAGACTTGGTCTTGTTTTAGACTTGCCAAGTCAAACCCTGCCAAAAAAAACAACTCTCCGACCTCTAGCCCGGTCCCCTCTCCATCACCTCGACTTCCGAGTACCTTTGACCCTCTCTCGCAGCCAAACCTATCTAGCTCCGGCCCGTGTCACATCGATCCATATCGAATCCATATAGAACATGCTATGCTGGGAAAGCTCCTGGTCTCTCACGGGTGCATCCCTGCATCCCATGTACTGCATGACTCCTAGACTGTATACTGGCATGCATCCAGAAACACTTGCATTTGACATCAAGGCGCCTTGCAGCAATGGCATTCTCAGGTGCCCGGGGCTCCCAAGGTCCCTCGTATCCATGGGCTGACAGCGGGTCATGCTTCCAGTTGTTGTAGCGGAGAAGATGCTGAACTTTTGGTAGGTCTGTGGCATTGGAGATGTCGCGGGCAAAGATCTTTGCCCTGGGATTCTTGGTGTACGAGTATGCGTCCCCATAGCGCTGCTCCATGAACTGCGCACCAGATACTTCGCGAATCTTCTGGAAGAACCTGAGTCGTGGTTGGGATACGTTTCAAGACGATCATCTTCATAAATCTTCATTTCTTACAAAGCTTCGTCATCTTTCAATGTGTAAACTTTGCTTCAACCAGGATCCAGGAACGGCGAGTTGTAAGAGACCCAGAAACCTTGGCTTTGCCTCGGTCCAAGGACAGCTGCGGACAGTTACTTGGTTGGTACAGGGGGGTTCCCAAAGTTCGGGGTACCCTTTGGGTCCCAATAATGGATAAACTATAGCATTTAGGGGTCTATATAGGGGTCTCCCTATTTTGGGAAACTACCATTGTTGGGTCGGCTACCTGCCTACATACCTAGGTAGAGACACAGACGGACAGACAGATAGACAGAGGCCAGCCATGCCTGCAAACAGAATGCAGACCCGCATACACAGAAAGGCATACTTTGTGCCCTTCTTTGGCACAGCTCATGCCAAACATGGGGTATTTTTCACATCCAGTGCATGCTCCTCCTATTCTTCCCACAACATGTCACTTCCGCAGCCTTGCTGCAACGCAACATCATTAATAGGAATCTTTGTCTTGCGATTCGCTGTAGCAGAAACTTGAACATGGCATGTGTTCCCTGGCTGGCGCTGCATGCAAGCACTCCTCATCTTTTCATACTAGCAGATACTCGGGAAATGCATCACAAAAGGTGTGCCAGCGATCGAATCGTTGGTCCGCGGGATGGGATGCCCTTGCTCTGACCCACTTGCTGCAGCACCAATCGGATCTGTCAGAATCTATCACGTTCACCAAGCAGCAACAAAGCCGCAAGTCAAGCTTCAACCCTCCTAAGCCGACCCCTCCCACCATGGTAGTAGGGGGGCATCATCTGAGTTCGACAGGGCACGGAAGTTAACAAGCAACGATATACAATAACTCTCCAAGCTCTCACTCCCCGAGATGCAGTCTGGCTACAGTACTTCACTCACGTCCTCCCACACAATGGTGCCAGGCATCTGCTCCAGCACGATGAGCATGCCATCCTGAGTTGTGGTTTGTCTATGTAGCTACAACGCAACACGTGTGTGCTTACAATACTCCAAGAGGCAGGAACATCCAAACATTCGCTGCCAAAGCTGATCATCCATTTTATCAACCGGGCATCTGGTACCTCTTTGGTAGCAACAATCTGCCTCAGGTGCTGGGCGTTGCTGGGGCCAGCAGATTTCGTACAATTTCTTCAAGAGGACTACACCTACTAGTCCATGGGCAAAACGGGCATGTGGGATGATCAGAGCTGTAAGGGCCTGTACGCGGAGCAGAGCAGCAAGCTCGCAACAAACAAGAATTGGAACATAGAGTACGAATTACGCTGGCAGCATACCACTGGTTGTTGATTGTGCCGGAGTTGAAGGGCGAGAACCAACGCGCCCAGGAGGGGCCATCCGTGGCACGCCGGTTCGCCACCAGCGTCCTTGCCCACGAGAAGACACTCTCTGGCTTGATCAATGCTGAAGTTGTCTTGTTGTACAGCCTCAGAGCACGACTTGATGCAGCTGTTGCGGATCAGCAGTTTGGAGTTTGGGCTGTATTCATTTGCAGGATGGACTCTTAAAATTGCATGAACTTGGACCATCTTCTGCTGCGGGGAGCGAGTTGGTGGTCTCCTGCACAGTGAGCCCAGAGCTGAGGGTGTAAAAGTCATCTCCGCTGTAGAGCTGACCAAAATATCCCGAGAAAACCACCTTATCTGCGCTGCCGCCCAGAGGTAGGTCATACTCCTTCAAGAACGCTTCAAGGTTGCATGATTCAGATGTAAATCATGGAATGCTACTGCTACTGGTAGATGGTAGACCCATATTAAGGGGTATGAAGTGGCACTGAAGAGTGGAGTCTCACTGTCCTAGCTCTCACAGATGGAGTCCTTCAGGACTCGCAGCATTGAATAGTAGCCAGTCCAGGTATTGTGGCCCACATAAAGGTCGCTGTTGTTGGGCGCCAGTCTCACGACGGACGAGCAATGCGACGTCTTGCGGGTGAAAGCAGCGGCCCGTTCGAGGGTCCACTCATCGTCAGCAAATGGAACTTCCACCACATTGTAAAGGTCTTGCTCGGCCTGAAAAAAGAGGAAGTTGAGCAGCGTCAGGCAGCTTTTGCCACAGGTCGCTACGTTGCCAGCGACCAGACCATCTAGCTGCGCCCAAACAAGGGCCATCTCAGCCCACCACTCGTCGTTCTCCTTCTTGAGATTCTGCCGCACGAACCGGTCATTTTGCATTAAGAACCTGGATGCAAACTCAAATTTCGTGTCATTCCCCCGGAAGTAGTCCTCACGGTAAGAGAGCCAATGCTGATAGGATCGCTTTGAGGTCAGTGCGCCCTCTGCAAAACCAGCAGCAAAGGCCATCCTCAGCTTGTCCTGCTGGGAAGATGAACGCGGCCTTCCATGGACGTGAAGTTTTGCCCACCCCACTTGCCCCATGGAATCTTGGTATTGTGCCACCACGTCCGCCCCTGGTAAGGCCCCACGGGCCCACGTACAGGCGAAGACAGGAGCCACGGGAGCCAAGTTTTGCCCAGGCTCCTTCGGCAATTTATTCAAATCGATTCAAATGACAACTCGCAAAGCTGAAGGCCCGCCTCACAGGACACGCTGGCAACTTCCCAGGCGTCTGCGGAGACTCCCCAAATGGGGACTAGAAGGAGCACTAAACGCGCTTGTGGCGCCATCTTGCAGCGAAGCTCAAGCTACTTGGTTTGGGCCAAACGGCTTGGAACGTTCAAGCCAACAATGTGCGTCTCATCTCGTGGCGGCAAGAGTTTGGAGTTGCATGGAGTTGCGAGCCCGCACTTCAAGCCAACAGGTGCCTTGGCGCATCCCCATCAGGGTTGCAGCCTCGACTGAGAAAAGCACAGGGAAAAAGCTTTACTTCAACTGCAGTGGTAGCTCTCACGAAGTATTGCACCACACTGAAGTCTGACCCAAACCTGAGCTCAAAGCAGTAGCTGTCGCAAGTTTGCCCCAAAGGCGTAAACCAGAGCTTCTTGCACGTACAGCCGGCAGCCGTCAACCTGCACACACATTCGAGCACATTTGGGCGGTGTCAGGAAGTTTTGAGTTTGAAGGGCCTTGGGATGTTCATAGCAATAGGCACCGTGCAGCCCAGGGTGTAACTGCGGTAGTCAGGCGAGGACTGGATCTGCATCAACGTGGCGGGAACACGCTGCAAGCCAATGACACAGTCAAAGTCGTAGCCAGCAAGGAGCCGTGGCCAGGTGGTGATAGTAAGAGTGAGGTTGGTGCCACCAGAGGATGGGCCTACTACCGGCGTGACCTTTGCCAACCTGAAGCGTAAGGCCGGGTCGTGGGACAAGTTACCCTGAACTTCCAGGCGCGGGATGTCTGGCTGTAAAACCATCTCTCCGTCCACCTCAGCCTGCGCATCCTCCGGCTCCCTTGGTAACACCGTCAGGCCCAATGATGACTCAGACCACTCCTGGCCATTCAGAGTCACTCGCAGCTTCACCTTGTCCTGCCCCTTTCGCAGCCACGAAAGACCGTCTGGGGTTGGGCAGAGTATGAGATGCCGAGAGAGGTACTCTGGCTCCGTCGTGACGAAATTGGTCTCCCAACCAACCTCCCTGTTGACAAAGAAGTCGCCACCAGAGACCCATACGTTGATGATCTCCGGAATCTCTTCCTCCTCCATGGTCTCGTTGTCTTCGGTGTAGTTTGAGGTATAGTTGGTGTCGACCTCGGTAGAGGTGGATGTCGTTGAAGAGGTTGTGGTTGTGCTGGTGATGGAAGTGCTGCTCGTTGACGAGGTGGTAGAGCTGGTAGATGACGTGGTTGAGGATGATGTTGACGTCGAGGTGGAAGTTGTGCTAGAGGAGGTTGAGGAAGTTGATGTTGTTGTTGAGGTGGAACTGGTGCTAGTGCTGGTGCTGGTGCTACTCGTGGTCGTGCTGGATGTGGTAGTGCTTGTGCTGCTGGTTGTCGTGGTGGTCTGCGTCGTGGTCGTGGTGGCATTGTCCGACTCATTCGAGGCATTCCCACTGTCATCAGACATGTTCTCCTGATCTGACATGCCATCTGAAATGTCAGTCTCAAGCTGCGTACTCGTGGTCGGTGCTAAGAAGGTGCTTGTGCTGGATCGCACAGTGGCAGTTGTTGGAGGCACCGTGGTTTGGGTTTCGTTGCGACTCGTATTTGTATCGTTTTCCGGGTCGACTTCATCCTCTTCAGGCTCGGAGCTACCTTCAGGCACCGGAATTGATCTACTAAAGCCAAATGAAGCTAGGGCGACCAGTAGCCTAAGATAGCCTAAGCAAAGGAAGTGCTCTAGATGAACTTCCTGCTGTGCCGACGAAGTGTTGCTAGAGAATTCTGACAGGAAACTCACATTGACATGAAGCCTTAGAACACAGCAAAGGTCACAGGTATAGCGTAATTAGAAAGCAAACCCGCTGCTTTACATGCTTGCAAAGTCACTGGTGGTTGTGGTCAGGTTGCTTTCGTTGCCGCTCGCAGGAGCCCGAGTTGAGGTTGAAGTAGTTGGCGCAGATGTTGTCCGCCTGGGAATAACCTGGCAACCGCAAGATACATGATTACGCTCAGCTTGCTTAGCGTTTGAACCTGTTACCTCTCATTTGAGGGTTGCAGACCTTACAGATGCTCCATACACATCCCCAATGGTCTTTCTTATCAGAACCCACCAAAGATCGCCTGTGGCAGCTCCAGCTGGCGGTCCAGCATCCACTGCGTAAGGTTGTCAATATCAGGCTGGAACTCAAGGTCTCCCCTGCATCCGAACATGACTCGTGGCGACTTGGGTTAAAAGCAAGGGCAAAGGCTTTTGTGCTGAGGTGTTGGGCGCAGGTCGATTTTGGATCGTTAACCGTTGATGACTGCGGTCTTGTGGGCATGATGTCGTTTACGTAAAGCTGCTTCGCTACCGGCCTGTCATATCCAATGTGCACTCCAGCGAAATTGCCCGTTCGATGCTCCAAGGAGATGATGTCTTTACCCCTGATCTCGGCCACTAGCGCATCATGCAACCGCGGCTGGAAAGGTTCGGCCATCACACTGTTGGCTTCAAAGGTGTGATACACCTTGCACGTGGGACGTGGGAACTGAAGAAGGCTCTGCTATCTGCTACTTGGTGGGGTGTTAGCAACCTGCCCTGAGCTACATTGTTACAGATGAAGCTTTGGAGAAAGCGCAACTATGATGACCTTCTGCTCCTTCAGACGTTGGTACGTCCGCCTTGCTGGTTCCTAGGAAAGCTTCAAAGAACGAACAGTCTCTTGATCAGTGCCAACACATGGCGAGTTGCCCAGGTCCCATCCTTCCGATACGAGACGCAAACAAATGGGTCCACGCGATCCAACGGTTCCAGGGCCTCTTCCGAGAACCTTGCATGTGAGCACAGCTAGCAGATCAACAGAGCACAATACCAGGATACCAGCTAAACCCCCCTGCTTGTTACAAGCCCAGGGCGCATGACGAAGGTACGCACTGCAGTCCTCGCAATGCGTGAGCTGCACTGGACGTGACCCAACCATGTCCACACAGGGACCCGATGGGTCAGAAGGCTGCGGCGCTGAACGCGGCTCTCAAAGCCACAGCGCAGAGCTGTGACGGGCCGGAAGTTGGAGCCATGGACTTCAAGTTGCGTGCTCTTTCCGTCAATCACCTGCTTGGGTTCCACATCAAAGAGATGCACTGGCTCCACGTACTCCAGCTGCATCATGCCAACGTTGGCAGACATCATGCTGGGCAAACCGCGGGCATCGCGGGCTGTCAGATACACGCGGCTAATGCCGACAGTGCGAGCAGGAACTTGGCAGCGAATCTCCAGGGCGGAAATGCGGATTGCGCGTGAGCGCTGTCGTACTCCCTCGAAGCCACACCTCAGATGCAAATGCAGGAAGCAATGGAGTTTAGAGATGTTCCTCTCTGCAAACGCCACCACATACCCAAACACTAACCCTCACAGTGAAAGCCATGATATTTGTTGAATCCTGATTCTTTAAATCGAAGATATCTCGAGCAGGGAGCCAAATGTCTTCATGGCCGTAGAAACTGCCATACACAGATAGCTGCGCACCACCGCCCACATGCACCAGGTTTGGAGTTAGACCCGCTGGCACGCTGGCCTGCCAGCACATGCATGGCTGTGATCAACATCGCTTGAAACTGTCACCGCTGCAAGCCTCAGTATTGTAGCCCACCCCAAGTGGAGCCAACATCTCCTCCGAAATTTCAGTCTCAGGTGCCGGCTCAACCTTCCGCATTGCATACATGCAGAAAATGTCTTGCGAAACTTTGCAACAATTCTAGGTTCTAGCTGCCTCGTACGAGCAGTTGGTGTACTCGAAATATCTTGGCCGCATTTGCTGCATCTTCGTGCCATTGCCGCCGCCTTAGAATAGAGCGGCAGCGCATTGCATGCCCTGTGCACCACAAACAGTACACGCAACACAGGCTGCAGCATCTTTTATGTTGCAGGCATTGAGGCCCAAACGTCGCATGCTGGCTGAGGCGTTGCTGGACATGTTGCTGTCGTTGCCCATGGTTTCCGTCTCGTCGTCTTCATACTCCTGCTATGCTTCAACACAAGGCTGTAGAGCAAATCCTATAATGCCATCCATGAGCCTTCAACACCTCGGACGAAATCCTACAACTCTGCGAGCTGAGTTCGGTAACAGCACTGTATCTGCGGCGTGATCCTCCCAGACCTCCATCTCAATGGACTCGTTGCCACAATCTCTCACCTGCATTTTGCGCAAATTTGCTCAACTGAGCTTGTGGCCTGATGACCCGTAAGCGTCGGATTATGTCAGCATCTTTCTTGCGACCGTATGTCACAACCACCGCAAATATCTACCACATTACAGGGTAAGGGAGCACAAGACATGTAAGCAGAAAAAAATTAAGCACCGTCGAAGAAGACATCATGTCGCAGAAATGAATTCCAAGCCTCCGGAGCTCCGAAATGAGTTCGCTCCGTTCGCATCCGCACTCCGGCTACCTCCAGCAGCTTGGAAGATTGAAGGGAGTGGTGTGACTTCCGATGATGCTTGCAGAAGGTCGCTGTCCTTTCTGCGAGTGACGACATGCCGAGCTTTGTAATGTACGTGCGTATCTAGCTTGTTAGTTTGCACATGGCATGCAGGGGAACCTTCACACGAGAGGCAAAGGCGAAGGTCAGATTCTCGCTGTGCAGACCATACCTCGTTGGCCTCGGGTAACTCTGGCTTATTCAGATGAAGCTGCATAAGCTGCGGTTCCACAAGAACAGCCCAGAACTGGGATGCAAGCGTCAGGGCGCATCGCAAGGCCGTCTCTGACACTTGGACAGCTGGGAAGACCGCCTGGGCCAACAGGTGCACTGGTTGCCTCAGAGTCGCCTACGTACAGTGGCTGATCCGCATTGTCAAGTTGATTCTCCTGTGTGCAATTAATGACAGTGACAGTGCTTCAATATGCCTCATCGAAGCTGGCTGTATGTTGCTGTACATCTTAGGACTGCTGTTCAACAGCACCTGCTGCCGTGACCTTCACCTGAGCAGTGCCCGAAACCCTACTCCTATTTCATTTTGGAGGCAAAAATGCGTACAGCACGTTCTGTTTTCCAAGCTTTTGCTTACGATCTGCTTACGCCTCTTACGCCGGCTTGGTGCAGCTGCTGCAACTGCAAGGACTGCTCCGTTTGAAACATGAACAACAGCACCAACAAAAACAACAGCTTAAGAAACTCACTGCCACAGAATTGCTTACGATACCTTACTTACGAAACACAACACATTGCTTACCCCAAATCTTGTTTCTGAAAGCCCCTCTCTTTTCTAAACAAGGAGGGTTTTGAGCTCTGCTCACCTGACTCCTGAAACCATCAACAATGCATAGGGGATTGAGGGCTAGCTCTGCGGTGCAGCCTGTCTGTCTGCTAGGCATGCTTAAGGCCCCAGCCCAGCTGTGGTTGTCCTCTACCAAGCACTGTGGCCTAAGAACAGCAAAGACAACTTCTGAGGTTAAGTATAGATGCCGTGCGTCTGGCGGAACCAAGGATGCTTGCATCTCAAAGCATCAAAACGCAGATCGAAGCTATTGAATGCCAAAGGTACCTCTTGTTTATTGGCTTTGCTTGAGGTGCGTTGCTTGAGGTGCGACTCTGGCGCGGGGTAGGCTGGGCGCATCATGCTTCAGCCTCCACTATCTTCTCTGCGGTGTTTGTGGCCCTTTCTGTCTCCAAGGAAGGAGCGGGAGGGAGAGAGCGAGGAGAGAGCAAGGGGCGTCTCCAGAGAGTGCAGTGATGTTGAAGTGATATTTTCAGGCTTGCAGACGCAGCTGAATTACAAGAGTCTAGGGTTCCGGACTCCAGTGATGGGTGGAAGTGACGTCCGTAAGCGAGAATGTGAGCTCGCTGCTCAATCGACACGCCTTCAACATGCAAGTCTTAAGGCGGCTATTTCTGTTCAGGCGCAACTGTGCTTGTCAAAGCACTGAGGTGTTTGGACAACATCAGTTTCAGTTTGAGACGGTCCTCCGGATGGAGGACCCCTAAAAAAGGCCTCGCGGCCAGACCGTCGACACTGTGGGTGCCGGGAAGATAGCAAAGCCTCACTTTTCCACCAAGACACAGTTGACATGGCCCATATATGCCCATATCACATCCTCGCAGGCACGAGAATAAGATACACTATGGTATAATATGGTATATTTTATGAGTATACATGGCTCGGATCGTGG